AGCCGATCAATACACCGTTATCCGGCTTCACCGGGGACTCTATCGACGCCGAGGGCACGATAGTCCTCCCCGTGGAGGTCGGTGACGGCCCCCACCACGCCAGAATTGACATGGAGTTCATGGTGGTCAACCTCCAGTGCGCCCACAACCTGATCTTGGGCCGGCCAGCACTGGAGCACTTGGAGGCCATCATCTCCATGAAGCACTTGTGCCTGAAGTTCCCCACCAACGACGGCATCGGCTACGCCAGAGGAAACCAGAGGATAGCCAGGGCATGCTACCTCAAACTGACGAGGCCGGCCGAGAGGGAAGGCCAGAGCATAGACACCATCACGACCGCCGTCGCCATGGACGAGGAAAGGCCGCATGCGGAGCCGGCCGAGGAGGTCGAGGAAATCCCTCTGGATACCTTTTGGCCGGAGCGGGTTCTCAGAGTCGGAAAGCAACTCCCCCAGGACCAACGAGACGCCATCCTCCTCGTCCTACGGTCATACGCCGTTGTCTTCGCGTGGGGCCCGGACGATATGCCAGGCATCAGCCGCCAGGTGATCACTCACCGGCTGACCGTCGATCCGGCCTCCGCGCCTGTCAAGCAGAAGCGGCGCTACTTGTCCGCCGACAGGCGGGACTTCGTCAAAGGGGAGGTAGCCATGCTCCTCTCAATCAAACACATTAAAGAGGTGAAGTACCTGACATGGTTGGCCAACGTTGTCCTCGCCCAGAAACCGCCGACGTTCAGAATGTGTGTTGATTACACTGACCTGAACAAGGCATGCCCCATGGACCCGTTCCCTCTCCCCAACATTGATCAGCTGGTGGACGAGAAGGCGGGGTGCGAATTGATGTCGTTCCTCGACGCTTTCAGAGGGTACCACCAAATCTCCATGCATGAAGATGACGCTGAGAAGACGGCATTCATGACCCCAGAGGGAATCTTTTGCTACCTCATCATGGCCTTCGGACTCAAAAACTCCGGCGCCACCTATACTAGGATGGTGGCCAAGATCTTCAGAGCGGTCCTTGGCCGGACGATGGAGGCGTACGTCGACGACATGATCGTCAAGAGCAGGCAGGCCACCTCCCACGCCGACGACCTTCGGGAAATCTTTGAAATAATGAAGGAGTTCAGGCTCCGCCTCAACCCCAAGAAGTGCACCTTCGGCGTCCAGGGCGGCAAGTTCCTCGGCTACATGGTCAGCCAGAGAGGCATCGAGATAAACCCGGAGAAGACGCAGGCTATCATCAACATGGAGCCGCCATGCAACGTCAAGGAGGTACAACGACTGACGGGGCGCTTGGCGGCCTTAAACCGGTTCCTCTCCATGTCAGCTGAGAGGGCACTTCCCTTCTTTCAGATCATGCGTAAAGCAAACAACTTCAAGTGGACGACGGAGTGCCAAGAAGCATTCGACGACTTGAAAAGGTACCTGTCGTCCCCACCCGTGCTCTCTAAGCCCAAAGCCGGCGAAACCCTCTTCTTGTACTTAGGGGTGAGCACGTCGGCCATCAGCTCCGTGCTCATCCGTGAGGACGAAGGGGTGCAGAAGGCCATCTTCTACATCAGCAAGACACTCAGGGAGGCCGAGCTCAGGTACTCCCCCATTGAGAAGACGGTGCTGGTCATCGTCCACACGGTGAAGAAGCTGGGACACTACTTCCAGGACCACGCCGTCCATGTACTGACCCAGCAGCCTCTCGGCGCACTCATGAGGAGCCCCACCAGCTCCTCTAGGATGGTGAAATGGGCAATTTTCCTCAGCCAATTTCAAATTGAGATCAAGCCGAGGCCATCCATCAAAGGGCAAGCCTTGGCCGACTTCGTCATCGAATGCACAGCAAGGGAGACGGCCGTCGCCAACCCCGGGCCGGAGCAGGACGATACATGGACCCTGTTCACTGACGGCTCGTCGGCCGCGAAATCATGCGGCGGCGGCGGCGTCCTCATATCCCCTGAAGGGTTCAGAGCTTACTATGCCATCCGCTTCAACTTCAGGGTGTCCAACAACGAAGCCGAGTATGAGGCCCTCCTCAGCGGTCTCAGACTCGCAGCCGGCCTCAAAGCCAAACACCTCAAAATCAAGTGCGACTCCAAACTGGTAGTGGGCCAGGTGGAGGGATCGTACGAAGCAAAGGAAGGCCGGATGAAGCAGTACAAACAAGCGACGGAGGAGTTGCTGAAAGCGTTTGAGACCCACGAGATCACTCAGATCCCAAGGGCTGAGAACGCCGAAGCCGACATCCTCTCCAAACTCAGCTCGGACACCCCGGAGCACATCTCCCAGTTGGCCAAGATCGAGGAGTTGAGCATGTCCAGCATCCATGCCAGCCCCGTCTTGTGCGTCCAACAGCGACCAGAGGACTGGATCTCCGACATCGCCACCTTCATCACAACGGGGGAGCTGCCCCCGGACGAGGAGAGAGCCAAACTTGCCAAGCTCAGGGCCCCAAGCTACACCATCGAAGATGGCAAACTCTACAAACGATCCTACAATGGCACTCTCCTTCGATGCCTCCACCAGGATGAGGTCGACACAGCCATGGAAGAAGTTCACTGTGGCGTCTGTTCCTCACACCAGGGCTCTTTCAGCATGTCCCGGCGTCTCGTCGTCCAGGGCTTCTTCTGGCCGACGATGGCACGCGACTACGCTGACCTGGCCAGGAAGTGCACCACATGCCAGGTACTCCAGAAGGCCCCTGGTCGGCCAGCTGTCAACTACGCCCCCGTCAGTACCGCAATTCCATTCTCCAGATGGGGGATTGACCTGGTCGGCCCCCTGCCCAGAGCCGCCGGAAATAACCGCTACATCATCGTCGTCGTCGACTACTTCACCAAGTGGGTCGAGGCGGAGCCCTTGGCTAGCATCACGGGGGCCAGATGCCAAAAATTTGTTTACAAGAACATCATCACACGCTTTGGCGTCCCCCAGGAGATTATATCAGACAACGGCACCCAATTCGAGGCAGCCCGTTTCCAAGAACTCCTCCGGGAGTTTGGGGTAAAGCATCGTTTCTCCTCCGTTGCCTACCCTCAGGGCAACGGGCAGGTCGAGAACGCCAACAGAACAATTATGGAGGGGCTGAAGAAGAAGCTCCAGGCCGCAGGAGGTAGTTGGGTCGACGAGCTCCCCAACATCCTGTGGTGCTACAGAACCACGCCGAGGAGGGCGACAGGTGAAACGCCTTTCGCCCTGTGCTACGGCTTTGAAGCAAAAGCGCCCACGGAAGTTGCCATCCCCAGCCGACGGGTGGAACAGTACGAGCCTGACGCCAACGAAGAGAACATGAAGATTGACCTACACCTGGTTGATGAGAGGCGTGAGCAAGCTTACGTCCGAGCGGAGAACTACCTGACGTCAAGTAAAATCATACTATGACACCAAGGTACGTTCCCGGGAATTTCAGGTGGGGGACTACGTCCTCCGCCGAAGGGAAGCAAGCCAGCCGACAAAGGGTAGCAAGCTAGCATTGAAGTATGAAGGGCCCTACATCGTCAGTGCCGTGGTCAAACCCGGCACCTACAAGCTTAAACGCCCGAATGGGTCCAATGTACCACGAAAGTGGAATGTACACCATCTGGTGAAGTTTTATCAGTAATCCGAAGGAGGTGCAGACGGCGAAGCCCTCACCCCCTAACGGGTTACTGATTGAACGCCACCCTCGGCCTCGAGCCACTTATGAATAAAATCATGTTCTGATTTTTTCTCTGGAATTTAAAGTAACACATTAGCAGGTACCCTCGTCGGCCACCTTAGAGCGAAAGGCTCAGGTATGGGCGACGTGGCCCCTTGCATTTGCAGCCTATGAGCAACAAGCTCAGGCACTCCATTGTATTTTGTATCAGCGAAGGGCTCAGGCCTAGCTGAGAGAGCACACCGTCCTGGCCCCGTAAGCCTAGAAGTGAAACGCTCAGGTATGGCCGACGATGTCCCCAGGACGAGGGGCCCGCAAACGGCCCACGTCTTGAAACGGGAAGCTCACCGCGTCGTCCACGCGCCAGATCGCAGGACGACAGGCCTGAAATCATGGCCGAGGTGACAAAATCCCAAAACTCAGGGATGGGCAACGACAGCCGTTGGAAACCGACCAAAAGTCTAGCCCGCGTCATAAATAGGCGACGGGACCCGCCCTGAGATCACGGACGTTATAAACGAAGTCCGAACCGGCCGAAGGACGAGCACACCCTTCGGCCGAAGCCTGAAAGAAGGATACTCCCCGAAACAAAATATATATATATATATATATATATATATATAGAAGGGAAAAAGAGGGAAGCCGACGGCCGTGCACACTTGCCGGCCTCGAGCAATGAAAAATAAAATCCCCACAATTCAGGCCCAGTTTGGCCAAGTACATATCAGTTGAACACAAGTGTAGCACCACTGACAGGTATCATGGACGACACGTCCACGCACCACAAAGGAATAATCAAGGCCGAAACACACGCCCATGAAACCCTAACCGCATCGGTTGGGTGACACGCGAGAGGTGACCTTCATCGGCCACAGTCCTTTGAAGCACCAACGCGTGGTATGAAACAAAGAATCACAATCCTGAGGATGACCAGGACGAAGCGGGCACTTATCACACCCGCGGAAGAATCAAGCAATCAAGGGACAATCCCTACTTGCCACAGCATCTCGGATGGCCGCTGCAGGCACTGGAACCAAGGCTGTTGGTCAAGCGAAAGTTATTTGGGAATTTGTTCAAGTGTTTACCAAACACTTAGGAAAAATCCTGAGAAAAAAGAGGGTTCCTCAACAAGGAACCATGGCTAGCCGACGAATGTAGGACCATCTCCTTGGAAAAGCCATTCCTTATCCGGCACCCTCATCGGCCACAAGCCAGACCTTGGCCGGCAGCGGTACCGCAAAGAAGTAAATGCCTTACATTTATACTTAGAAAATTCTCTAAGTACTCAAATGAAGGAACTCTAGCCGAAGCGGGTACCCGTATACTCCAAGGCCGTTAGCTACCTACACCTCCGCATGTGTACTTAGAAAAATTCTAAGTTCAAAAGACCAAGGTGAAGGCGCCCTTATCGGCCACAACACAAGGATGCAGGCCGACAATGACACTGGTTCAAACACTTGGGAAATCTCCCAGAGCATTTGTAAAGAATGATAAATCCAAGGCCAGGACGATGAGAACGCTCAGCCATTTGAAGTTAGACACTTAGAAAAATTCTAACAAAAAAGAAGAAATCCAACGCCAGGACGGAGCGGACACCACGGTCAAGGCCGAAGGGAAAGCACCTAAATGAATCCAACACACTTGGGAAATTTTTGAATAAATCCTAAGTGTTATGACACTACATCAACACCGAACAGGCTGACAAAGCCACCAGGCCGGAAACAAGGCACTTAAGTGGATCCAAAACACTTAGGAAATTTTTGAAAATATCCTAAGTGTTATGATAGTAGAGAAACGACGGCCAGGCCGATCAAGCCACCAGGCCGGAAAGACAGCAACTACGTGGATCCAAAACACTTAGGAAATTTTCGAAAATATCCTAAATGTTATGATAGCAGAGAAACGGCGGCCAGGCCGATCAAGCCACCAGGCCGGAAAGACAGCAACTACGTGGACCCAAAACACTTAGGAAATTTTTGAAAAAATTCCTAAGTGTTCTGATAGTAAAGCAAAGATGAATAGGCCGACCAGGCCACCGGACAGGGAGGCCGACCTCACGGACGTAGCGGACACTCGCGGGTGACCCAAGTTATGACCTTGACACTTAGACAAATTTTAGAATTGAAATGACAAATGGCAAACAAGCATACAAGGAATTCAAAGCCGAGCAGGACGGCAAAAACTTTTTCATTCATAGTGAGTTCATTACAATTGGGGGCGCTTCGGCCATTACATCAGTTTGGCAAAAAATAATTACAAAGGAAGGAGCAGTCGATCAAGCCTCTTGGGCACCTCCATCCGCGGCTGGCTCTTCGGCCTCGTCGGCTGCCTCATCGGCCTCAGTCTCCTGGCCGGCAGCGGCTGCAGCACTGGTGGCATCGTCCAGGAAATCGAACTCGGTGTAATCCGGCTCGCCAAGGCCGGAGCTTTCAATAGGGGACTCCCGCTCCGACAAAGGAAGCTTGGCCTGCTCCTCTGGATCCTTCATCAGCTTTGGCAGCTTCAGGTTCCGTCTGGCCCACCCGGACGTGTAGTTCATGGCCTTCAGAGCACGAGACAGCCGCCGACACAGGAGCCTCTTCATCCGCTCCTGGCCCATGTTATAATAGACGGCCATCTCCCTACTGAAATACTCCTGGCCGGCGGGGGAGTTCATCCCCCAACTCTCAAGCCTGGCGGCCACCACCTCATAGCACCAGGGAAGCCTCTCATCGGCCTTCCACCCCTCGGCCAGGAACTTCTCAACGGCCTCATCAGCAGCCCTCACAGCGGCGGCCTCAGCCTCAACTTTCGCCTTCACGGCTTCTTCATTCTTGCGCCGCTCGGCCTCAAGCTCCCTTTTGCTCTCCTCGAGCTTGGCCAGGGCATCGTCCCTGGCTGCAGCGGCTTCATCGGCCCTTTGCTGCAAAGCCTTGGCATCCTCCCGGAGCCGATCCAGGCAAGCTACCGCCTCGTCGGCCGAGGCAGCCTTCTGCTCCAGCTCCTTCAAACGAGCTATCTCCCGGTACTGCCTTTTATGGCTCTCCATGAGCATAAAGGCACTCTGCAGAGAAACGGAAAACAAAACTCAGGCAAACGACTCTACATGGACGACGAGAAAAAACGACACATACGAAGGAAAGTAACTTACTTGGACGAGGAGGTCCATACCACCCTCGTAAATCTTCACGTCCCCGAGCTTCTTCAGGTAAGCCCAATCTTTGGCCGGCATGGCCTGGGCCAGCACGTCGTGGCCAAGGACGACATCATCAAATACACCCCCGCCGACGGGATATTCTACCATCTTCTGGTAGGTGGCACCGGCAATCTCCTTGCCGGCCCTCTTCGTCCGTGGCTCCTGGACGAGAGGGAGCGATTGGGCAGCATCGCCAGCAGCAGTGAGGTCCACAACAGGACCGATATCAACCACACTGGGAACGGCAAGGGTGCCGGCCTCAGTAGCCTGGGAAGGAGACGGCGCCCTCTTCGTCTTCTTGGAGACGTTTAGGCCGGCTCCAGTTAATTTTTTCTGGCCGTCAGTGGTCGGCCTCTTCTTCTTCGATTGGGCAGGCTTTGGAGCCGCACCAGCAGTAGCCCCCGCTCCCCTCGGCCGCGGCACGTCTGGCCGCCTCGGCCGCCTTAGCAGCCAACTCCTCGGCCGCCTTGGCCTTTGCTATAGCCATGATAGAGCGACGGTCCATGACAAAATCTACAAAGGAAAGACACAAAAGATTAGCAAGGCAAAAGAACAAAGCACAAAGACAGAAAGCCGAAAAAATAGTTACCATCGGCCTCAGCAGGAATGCCCAAGTCCGGGCCGTCGGCCTCTTCAAAGGTGGTGGTCATCCTCGGCCAGAGTTGGATGTCATCCTCCTTATCGCCATACACATGGTATCTAAAGAAGCCGAGGGCGGTCATCTTGTATTCAGTAATGTAGTCCTTCACACTCCTCGGCCCCCCTTCCAGGAAAGCCTCCACCTGAGCGTCCAAGATAGAGCTCTTCGGCGGGTCATGGAGATTGAACCTCTCGGTATGGCCGAGGGAGGGAAACTCGGTGCCACTCTCACCCAGGGATACAAAAACGAACTTGCTCTTCCACCCATGAATGGACGAAGGCAAGTCCGTGAAGCTCCTCTTCTTCGGCAGCTGTTGAAGAGTAGCATAGGCCGCACAGTTCTTGTGGCTTCCTCGGCCGATCTGGTACAGATTCATGAATAGGGCCGTTGTCGGCCTGTAGCCCAGCTCCTCACACCGGAGCAGAAACCCCACCATCAAGGAATAGCTGTTCGGCGTCAGCAAGGCCGGAGGAAGCCCTACCATGTCCAGGTACTCAGTGATGAAAGGGTGAAGGGGGAACCTCAACCCCTTAGCGAAACTCATCGGGTATACTCCAAAGTATCCCGGTGGCGGAAGAAGAACATGGTCCGTCGGCCTGGATGCCCTAACCCGCCCAAACGGCCCCACATACATCTGGGCAACAAGATAGTCAGCCGCGCTGCTCTCCGGCTTAATAAAAAAGATGTTGGTAAGATCCAGGTAGGAGAGGCCCGACCCACTCTTCGGCCTCCTCACCCTCTTCGGCCTCCTCACCCTCTTCGGCTTATCTGCTCCCTTCACGGCAGACACCGGCCTCAGGCAGGGAATGACAGCAAAAGTGGACGCCCCGTCCACCACTCGGGATGCACCTGCGTCCTCACCCTTTGAAGAAGAGGCGGACTCCTCGTCCTCGACCTCATCGTCCACCGGTTCCTCGGACTTGTAAGGACTCAAGTGTTGTATCTCCTCCTCGAACTCCTCGAGCACCTCATAGTCAAGTGACCTCGTGGAGGGCTGGTCGTCGTAGGGATAGTAGTCTTCGTTCAAACTCTTCATCATAACTACTACTACGAGCCTAAGGAGATTAACCTAGGATCTAAGGGTGTTCAAACGCCTAACACTAGATCACTAGCCTAGGAAGCAAAGTATGAAAAGTGAGGAAGATTGCGATGAACACTAACCTTGAACACGAAGAACACGAAGAACAAGCTTTGGAGTTTATCTCTCTAGAAAATTGGCCAGCACTTCGACAAATTCAGAATGCAAATACGTCTCTCGTCGGAGGGGGAGGGGTATTTATAGAACCCCCCACCCAACGGTCACTACACGTGGCACCCTCCCAATGGCCACATCAGCGGTCACCAATGGGAGGCCACCACGTCACCAACGGGCCAAACCCAATGTCAACAGCCCACTGGCAAAAACGGACTCTACGGCCTATACACGTGCCGGCTTCACGAGTGCCAGCAAACGCCCATATCGTCGTACTTGCTCGCCAGTGCCCACAACGTCCTACTTGCTGGCCAAGATCACAAATACCAAACAATAAGGGGATGTCAACGGCTAGGAACGTAATGCACGCCCGTAACGGCCACAGAACCAAAAGGAACAAAGAGCCCACAGCCATCGGCTCCTCGTAATGACCCTTGATGATAACTCTCTACAAGCGATCTGCGCACAAGGGTTCTCCCACAGGGTTACCTTGGCCAGAAAATCGCCATGAGGGTTGGATTCAGGGGGACTACGGAGAGGCCGCTTCGGCCAGGGACTCAAGCAACTCCTTCACCCCTCACATCCTTCGGCCTGAAGCAGTGGGGGACTGGGGGACTACATCGGCCTCAACAAAACAAAAAGCAACAATACAAAGAACATGAATGTAACCACAAAGCATGGCCACATCGTCCACGCATCACAATGGCGCCTCGTCGGCCAGAGGCACATAACATCATCAACAACGGCCAAAAGGAGTGCGCGAGCACCCTCATCGGCCACCCAAAGGAAAGGACGCCATCGTCCTCAAACCAAGGAACAACCTCAACGGCCTCATCGGTCCAAACATAAACTTCAGCCATCAACGTCCAGGAAAGGGAAAGCGTGCCTTCAACGGCCGACATTGAAACAAGACACTCATCATCCTCAAATGAACACATTAAGGAAACAACGGCCTCCCCGCCCACAGCGAGGAACAGGTAACGGCCAAATTAAGAACAGGATCACCAAAGAGGAAACAACGCCAAAGAGGAAACAACACCAACGCCGCAACGGCTAACGGCCCGGGGATGCCCGCATCGGCCAAAAGCACTAAACACGGGAATCTACTCTCCTTCACTTCGTCTACGTCTCAGCTTAGAGAGTGGGGGACTCCTGATGGAGTATATGGGTTTGAGCCCCCGGACCCACATACTCGGAAGAACAGAAAGCTCAAGACACAGAGTGGCGCCCTCGTCGGTCAAGACGCCCCCGTCGGCCGAAAAGGGGCCAACTCAGATTATGGTCCTGAGCCCAAGGAACCCGGGTGCCCTCGTCGGCCGTGCCCTCGTCGACCACGCCCTCGTCGGCCCCGAAGACCTCACAGAACCGGATTTTATACTTATTCATTTGTACAGCCCATTAGTGGCTTTGTATTCGGCCCAATAGCGGTCCAGTTGTAAGTGGGCCTCCCAAGCCCAAGGCTTGGGAGCCCAGCCCGTATTTTCTCTATAAATACTTCCCTTGGGAGTAGTTATAGGGGTTACAAATTCATTCTATTGAAGCATATTATTGGACTTCTCTCTCTAGCTCTCACTTCTCTCTAGAGATATACTCTATCAATGGGCAGTGGACTCAGCAGTTGGGTAGTCACCAGGGGACTGCTGAGGCAACTGCTGTGCTTTAAGATGATTTCTTGAGATCTGATAGAACAAACCTTTTAGTGGTGATATTGCAAGGCTCTTGTGGAAAGATTGTCTCAAAGAAAGTGAGTTATTAAGCAGTAGGATAAGCAGTAGGGTCAATTAAGACTTACTGCTTAGGATGCTGTTGGCAAACAACAATCTTTTTGTGAGAGGTGTTGGGTGTGTGCTTTGTTGACTGAAAGTAAATCAACACATGGTATTTACTGGTTAAGAGGTGGTGTAATCCTCCTATGTCCAGTCCCACCCTCTTTCAGATGGATTTCCACTAAAGTATTAAGCCCAATACACTTAGTGCCAATCTAGCCTTTACAACACTTAGGCCTAGATTGAAGGTGTTTCACAATGAGTATAACACCACTCAAAGTTACTCAATCCTTTAGATTTTTCTCAATTGATCCAGTGGGGATCAAAGGGTACTCTATCTATCCAACCACACTTTAGGATCCGAACAACTGTTCTCCCAAGTGTTTACAACAATTTGTGATTTTTTACACGAAAGTTCTAACCTCCAACTAGGAAATAAACTTCTTGGATTTATCAATGTATACTTGTAACTTCGAAGTTTAGCGAAGCATGAGTCCAAGCAGAGAGTAAAGTATAGTTTCACACTTTCTCTTTTGCTAGATAGCTCGTGAATGCTCAATGTATTTCTCTACTTTTTGGATGCTCAAAGCTTGGTTAGAAACTTTCGTTTCAGTCTATATTTTTAGGCGTCTCCGATTGATTAATCTCATCCGTTGGTTAGGATGAATTTAATCTTGTTCGTTGATTCCATGTTTCGCAGAAGATAACATGTTGTTGTTTGTCTTCTTTTGCTGGAGCCGATATCTCTTTTGTTTTTGCTAGCCGCTGCAGACCTAGGCTGTATCCCATACTTTGGGTCCCTGTACGTTTATCGAGCATTTAATTGCTCATCACTTCTTGTCTTCATCTATACACGTAGAGTATGTATTTTACCTACATGTGTGACTTTTACTTGTGACAGTTAAACTTTTGAGACTTAATGAAATACATGTCGGTAGGATCTAAATATCCTATTAAGGTAAAAAAAAAATTACCTTATTGCATTTTGAGTTTTCCGATAGTGTGTTATTAGTCTCAAAAATTGTACATTTATTTTGTCACTTTTTAACATTAATACGCAAATAAATAAGACACGGTGTACTAGTGCAATGCATAGTGGCATCATCAAAATCTATCAAAATTGGGTACTAACACATATGTCGAGTTGATAGGTGTGTTTCAGGATGACAGATTGAAAGGTATCTTAGGTGTTGTTTAAGGATGACAGATTGAAAGGTATCTTGTCGGATGGACGAGAGACCGACAAACACAATAATCAAGGATATGAAATACAAGTCATTTCCAAAATTTCGAGAAGTTGGTGCTCAACGGCTCAACATGTGCACCCGTACGCCTCAACTTCTCGAAAGGGGACAATTGTTGGACCACATATATGACAGGTTGACTCTACATACATGGGAATTGTTAATGGAAGTTAATAAACATAATGTTGGATGTTGGGAACTTTTTATGCATTACTATGGTCATTAATATAATTAAAGAGGGAGTTAATTAAGAGTTGACCAATCTTTATAACAAGGTCCTCAAATCGTCAGACAATGATGGAACGATCGAGACATCACATTTATGATCATTAATTGGTAACATCAATGAAGATAGGAGCTGACAATTGGAATAAATATTGTACATATTGCATAGAGCAGTTGGTATAGAATTAGACATTAATACAGGTCGACAAAACGGACTGCCAAATCAGAAGGAGTAATAACGCAAGCTATAACGGCCCTGATTTCATGCCTGACGGATCAGACTTGACGAAATGGTCTGATAACCCGTCCTATTCTATCTACTTTAAATACTACAAATCACTGATATAAAAAGGCAACAACCATTGAACACTACTACGAAATTTTGAAGGATTCAATATTCACTCATCTTTTATTTGATTCTTCATTTTTTCTTTGATCATTCCACGTTGACCAACTGATTTTTCGTTCCCGAACGTTCAAATCATATTTACGTTGTTTAACCAAAAAATAACTTAAACATGCACTTTAGTTATCACAACATTCATTCTATTTTCTTGTTCTTCAGCTATTGCACTGTTTCTTCCAAGATCTTCTCTTCTCTGCCGACAACCTCTCAATGGCGATGTCTTTGTCCATTAGTTTGTATTCGATCACCATACTCCAACTCATTGTCATTGTACCATTCAAAGTACCTACAATCTTCATTCTAAAGTCACAACACCACAAATAGTATTAGTTTCACAATTACATGTCAATTGTGTATTCTACGATCTCCAGTCAATAACCATTAATTCTAACAAACCCTAAATTATACCAAACCAGATTACAAGGCAAAGTACCTGCAATAAAACCCTAAATTCAACCAAAATTATTGTGAGTGACCTAAATTCAACATAAATTATTCTTGGTTAAACTTAAAATTCATATCAATACAATCCAAATCCTTTAGTACGAGATACTTACAGGTCAAAGTGAACATCCAAAAAAAATCTCCCCCTAGATTTCTCCCATTCTTCGCCGTTCTTAATTTGGTCTGTATGTTGTGATGGCAATTACGCGTACTTGAGTTACGTGTCCAAGAAGATGACCCACTAACGGACTTCATGAGTATTGTTTTCGTTTGTGTTCTTCGCCCGTTACTTAGTTTCTTCCATGCAAGGCCTGCTACTTTGGTTGTTCTCCTTCGTCCTTGTTCTCCATCGTCCTTGTTATGACCTTCGCTCAAGGACGGAGGTAGCCTTTGAGGGAGGGGTGCCATGACCCCTCCCAACATTTCAATTTTTTTAGTACTAAATAATTAATGTTCAATGTATTTATTAGTATTTTTTGTAGGAGTAGTTAATTGTTAGTTTATTGATTATAATATTCTCTTTTAAAGTGAAACATACTAGTTATGGTTGATAGATATATAATCTTAAATTAATCATTTTATGAATTTTTAATTAGATTAAAACTATTCAATTAAGCTTTAAAAGTATTCAAAAATTATAAATATATGGGAGAAATAAATGTGATCAATTCCAATTAATAAACTTTGATGTGAAATGAATTATATTTATGTCTATTTGTATAGTTAAAGAATAATATAATTATGCATGTAAACAAATTTAATAATATTAATCATATTTAATCAATTTGAAATTTGTGATGCAAAACAAAAAAAAACATGTCCTAATATTTATTTTCTTTCCTAAGCATTATCCACACACGTAGTAAATGAATGATTTTCGAAAATTAAACATCCCACTAAAGTATATCGCAAGATATTGATACATTGTTTTATTTTCGTTGTCATACAAAGTCTCAGGTATTTCAAATTAACCACCAATACCAATTGTAATTAAATATGTTGACGAATTTATACGTTTTTGTTCTGGCCTGACCCCCCCTCCCCCCCTCTAGTGATATCTTGGTTCCATCCATGCCTTCACTTACATAAAAGATTGGGAAAACTATCAAATAAGTCCTCGTATTTTATCAAAAACGTCAATTAGATTCTTATACTTTAAAATCAATTGAGTCCTCAAACTTTGAAAAAGAACTCAAATTAGCAACTTATTAGTAGGTCACTACTAGGGTTTATCAAAAACTAGATCCTTATACTTTCAAAGGTTATCCGGTAAAATGCATACTGTTGGCGTATCTTTTGTTTTTAAAGATTTCTATTTTAAAAAAATTCCAAACTGAAACTGTCCTGTGAACAACCTAAAATTAAAATATGGGTCTGTGTGTTTTGCTACTCTTCTTCTTCTTCTTCCTTCAATTCATTCTTCACTCGTGGATTAGTGCGTTGAGGCAGCTGGCTGGAGTGCAATAGGGTTTCTTATCCATGCCCCCTTGCGATGATAAGCTTTGTTTTTAAGGATGAGCTGGTGTATTCTTCGCTCATCCAAGAAGAACAACAATTTGGGTGAGTTCTCTTTCGATCGCTTGGGTCTGACCTTGCTGATTTCTTCTAATTTAGTCTCTACCATCATCGTGTCGTCTTCTGGTTCCGTGTCCATGGCCGCCGTCAACTATGTCATCTTCTCGAGTCTTCACCGCCGACGTCCTCCTCTGATTTGCTACGAGAGAGGAAGAAAGCCCTCTCCATCGCCAGTGAAACCTCCACTCCCGGCTTGGCGTCCTCAAATTGATACGAAAACGAATCCACGGAAGAAGAAGAAGATGCCACCGTACTGGGAAGCAACAATATTTGAGAGGGAAAAAATAGTGAACGGACCATCCGATTTTGTGGCTTTGGTTTCACGTAAATACCATTTTCCTTTTAAAGTTGAGTCTAATCTAATTATACATATGGATCACCACATGGCAGCACCGAATGCAATTTACCCGTTAACCTCATGGTTACCTTCAATATTGCTCATTTGAAAGTTTGAGGATTCCATAAATGATTTTAAAGGACGAAAGGGTCAGTTCAGTACATGAAGTTGGACCCGGGGAGTAAAGAGTACCTCAAAATGTAAACGTGATTCAAAGGTACATAAACTGGGAAAATTAGGGTTAATTTAGTCCTAACGTGTATTAGACGTTCTAAAACGCTGACATGGCTAAAATTAATCGTTTGGTAGGTACACGGTGGATTCCAAATCATCTTCCTCCTTAAGCCTTTAAAACCGACCCTAGTTTAGCAGATGAGCGACATTTTATCAGTAAAAGCTCCGATTCCTTCTCTTCTCTTCGTTCGCATTCTTCTCCTCAAGCGGCTTGTGGTGCGGTGAGTCTGGTATTTGTTGTTAATAAGCTTATGGAACCCTAGGTTTTGATTGATTTCATTTCTGAATCAGGTTTGGGAACAACACACATGGCTTATTCAAATTGCGGTTGTGGAAATCCTTTAAAGATGATGACTTCATGGACAGATGACAATCCAGGGAGACGTTTCATTGCTTGCTCACGATCAAGGGTATCACTTTCAATTGCTTGACCATAATGTAGTATATGTGTTTTAAAGTAATCTTGTTGATGTGTATATTAATGTTTATGTTATTGTTATTAAAAATCAAAGGTTTTAGGTGGCTGCAACATGTTTCAGTGGATTGATCCTGAAATGTGTTTAAGGTCCAAGAGTATTATTCCAGGTTTGTTGAGGAAAATTAACATACTGGAACTGCAGCTGGCTGAGGAGAAAGCTCACCCAAAGGGAGAGGAAAAAGGCTTGTCCAAAAAACAGAGTAAATGGAGTGTGATGTGGTACATTGTAGCTGGAATTGTGGTGGTATTGATATGGATTATTTCTTATGATACTGCAAGCAAGAAGAATGTGGATTCAAACATGTGTGAGGCTGGCAAATAGTTTTGTGTTGTAGGAAGCAGAGTATGTTTTAGATTGATGTTTAAGTTAGGTTGCTGGAAGCTTTGTCCTGTGGGAGCTAATGTTGTTGTTAATGTAATGTAATTTAGGTAGGTATTGTAAGAACCAAGTCTGTTTACTATAATGTTTGTGTATGACAGTGTTTAGTGTGATGAATCAGGTCAAATTTTATCAATGAAATATGTTTGTTTCTTTTGGTGTATACTGGTGTTTAATATGTTGTTTCATAGGTGTATATAACCTGCAATTTTTGAACTGAAAAGATGAACTGAAAACATGAACTCAAATATAACAATTTGTGGTGGTATATAACCTGCCATATGTTTGAACTGAAAAGATGAACTGAAAACATGAACTGAAACCATAATCTGATAAATGAACTCAAACCATAAGCCATAAAAACAAACCATACTCAGAATGTTGAGGTCCATATTTAACTCCAAACATTAACTTAAAGTCTTATAGAAACCAGACATATATGAACAAAAAACATTGATAAGTGATTCATATAAATGACCTCAGACCATTATCATGAAACCATGAATATTGTTCTTAGCTTCATAGAGTTAGTAGTAAGCTTTTGCTACAACCATGAGTGGCACACACACACCACAATCATTGTACCAAAACCAAAGGTGTAACTACATAGAGTACTTAATATGAAAGTGTTAACTACACTAAACACTTGCAAGTCTTAACTACACAAAACAACTTGCAAGTGAACCATTTAAGCCCATATACATCCCAAAAAAAGTTACTGATCCTACACACCACCATGGTATATGCAAAAAAGGCAGTAGGATCTTCCAAAAAAGCTACGCATCCTACACACTAATTCCCCTCATTCTCTTCCATGGAGTCAAATAAGGCATGGAACCTCTCTTGCACCTGTTGGATTGTCATGTACTTCCACCTCCTTAGGAGTTCTTTTTCTTAGATTTTTAGCTTTCACGTTCCTTTCCTTCTCATTCCTTGCCCTCATTTTCTGTAACAATGAAAAAACATAAGGAATATCATTCATATTACCATTACAGCACTGAAAAGTATGTGTACTCATCCATTACCTCCAAACCAAATGCAGTTGTACAATTCTGTCCCCTCCATTGAAAAACTCCATCAGTGGATGTGTTCTGTGTAGGTTGCTTGTCAGTAAAGTAGGCTTCCAATGTACTTGGACCTGCATTAGATGGCTCTGAACCTCCATTGCCAGTGTTGTTTTCCTGCAAATAGCATATGCACATTCACAACTACTCCATAATTCCAGACACACATTAAATGAATACAGTTCAGTTTGTTATCCATATACCTCATCTAAAGTATTATTCTCAGGTGGGTTTGCAGTTCCATCTTCCTGGTCATCAACAAAGGTAGTGGTCCCTTGCAATATTTGATCTTTTGATGGACATCCTTTTTTGTTGTGGTCTTTTTTGAAGCATAGCTGACAAGTTATGTTTGTACCCCTCTTGGGTAACTTTCCGGTCCTAGGGAACTCTCCTAGTTCTTTGATTCTATTCTTCTTTGGCCTCCCCATTTCCTTTTTTTAACTCAGGGGGTAACACTGAAATGTTAGTTTTTGGCCAGAATAAAGGGCCAGTAAGAGGGGTCATCATTTTAGCATATGTATGGCGGTACATGTCCTTCTTGTACCACTGGGAAACATAATCTTCTATTGGATGTCCCCTATCCCTAATGGCACAAATAGCGTGTTTGCAAGGTATCCCAGAAATATCCATTGCTCACACAGACAACTTCTATTCTCTAGGTCTACGAGATAAGTGTCAGAACCACAAGAAACCTCATACCCATCAGCTCCATTAAATTGGACCCTCCAAAAATTACTAGCCATTATTATGTTATTGATCCTCCTCCTAATTCTAGGGCCTAACTGACCAACCCACTTATCACCTAAATCCCTATTCTTGGTCAACCTTTGCATTACCAACTTTCTGATATATTCCAACTGAGAAAAACCTATCTGAGATCTAGCTGGGACTATGACTCCATTAAAGGCCTCACATAGATTATTATCAACCGTCACATTTGATGCTCCTATTAAAGAAAGCTCTACACCAGAATTTTGGATCTATCTTCAAAATGTCCTCATGAGCACTTACAGAAAGAGACTTTAAGACCTCCAAATTTCTTTCAAACTCTCTCTTGGAGGCAAACTTGCAACAGACCCAAAATTGTCTTTGCAACTCTATACTTGGATGGGTTCTTCTCCATATGGCATAAATGTGCCTGGCACATCTTCTATGCTCAACTTCAGGTAAAGTTTCATACAAAGCAGGCATTAATCCCTTCAATAATCAATTTAAAATGAACTGAAATTAATGAACTCAATTGCAACTAAAACTATTTTTGATAATTACCAAATATCTTAAGAATAACACACAAATACAATTGGGAGGTATTAGTAAAACAAATAAATGAAAGGGTAATAACCTTTTGTTGGTCTGAAACGAAAGCCCACCCATTTCCTCTTCCAATAGCTAAATCATCTCTTAGATTCTCAAGAAACCATTTCCATGTGGCTTTGGACTCAGAACCCACAACAGCCCATGCAATAGGGAACATTTGATTGTTTGCATCCCTTGCCACAGCTGTTAGGATTTCACCCTTCACTTCTGACTTTAAAAATGCCCCATCTATGCCAATAAGCCTTCTACAACCCTCCAAGAATCCCCTTTTGCAGGCTTCAAAACAAACATAAATTCGCTCAAACACAGGTGTGGGCTGCTGTAAGTGTAGAATGCAAGTGTTCCCTTCATTGGACCTAAGGATTTCAGCCTTGTAATCCTTCAAATTCTTGTACTCTTCCAGAATGTCTCCCTTTTCCAACTTTCTTATCATAGACTTGGCTTTCTTCATTTGCTCCAAAGATACATCACACTGTAGTTCTCTCATAACCATCTCTTTCATGGCAGCTACCTTCATGTCAGATACACATGTCTTAGTGTTGAAAAAGTTTTTGACTAACCACTTAGTTGTGGCACTTGGAATCTGCCAACCAGGATTGCAGGTATGGTCCATATTCAGTGTCTTTAGCACCCACTTCTTACTAGTACTTCTGTTGTCAATGGAGAAGTAGGCCATCCATGTGCAAGTCTTGTTCAAATTAGAACATTTCGCCCTAAGCATGTTGGCACAGTTTTTTGCCCAATAGTATGGATACCTTTTTGTTACAGAGTATTTGTTCATGGCATCTTTTACCTCATCTTTGGACTCAAAACTCATTCCCAAATAAAAGTCCGGTTTGTCATCTGCTTTGAAGCTTGGAAATCTAGATTTTGCTCTTACAGTGTCTTCTTCCTCATCAGAACCTGTTTTGTAACTTCCTTCATCGCTTGAGCTGAAGTAATCTGTCTGATTGCCATCACCCTCCAAATTTTCCTCTTCTCCAACTCTGCTATCACTTCCACCAGTATAGGGGAATTTGGTTTTTCCAACAGACTTTGCATTTGTGACCAACTTTCAAAGCAACAGCCTACCATGAAGTAACTTTTCATCATCCGCATTTTCAGAGTTGAACTCATCTTCAAATAATAAGCCTGCTTCAGCCTCAAGAACAGGATCTGTGAACCCCAAATCCACAATAAACGAGAGCTTGAGATTTGTACCCTCCATTCGCCTGCCCTGTGATAATATATGTGTTACCTTTACAAATCAGACACAATTAAATGATTCCCACCTACTGATATTCAAGTTTAAAATCAATTTTTATACATTACTTCAACAACTCGAACAACTAGAACAAGTGTAATGTAAGCCTACTTCAGTATACAACCATAACATTCTTCAACAATGCTTTAACGTACAAGAATATATATTAACAACAACAGATGCATAAAATACCTTTCTTGGATTAATCAATGTCCTTCAGATGAATCAAATTTCTCCTCCTTAAGCTTTCACCTGTAAAGCCATCGTCTAAAGTTTCTCTAAGTGTAAAAGGGTTAGGGTTGCTGGGTTAATAGAGTCGAGTAAGATGATGAGGTAGCGTTTTTTTTCATTTCACTAATCATTTAGCCATGTCAGCGTTTTAGAACGTCTAATAGACGTTAGGACTAAATTAACCCTAATTTTCCCAGTTTATGTACCTTTGAATCACGTTTACACTTTGAGGTACTCTTTACTCTCCCGGGTCCAACTTCATGTACTGAACTGACCCTTTTGTCGATTATAAAGTACAAAGATCTCATTGACATTTTCAACAAAGTATGAGAATTTGTTTAATAATTTTCTCTAAAAGATTCATCACAAGCGATCACATGATTTGTAATTACCCGCTAAGACCTGACCTTTAGGTTAACAGAGTGTTTGGGGAAGGTTTACCCTTAATTGATATTGATTTAGAATAACTCATAGGAGAGATTAATAATGGAAGAATGTCAATATTAATGTATGATAAATGAATCCATAATAAGAAAGAGAGTATATTTTACTATCTATCTATATATGCACCGAGTAAATTGTTAAATTGAAGATAGTCTAAAATTTAAAACGAAATATTCTTTACATCTGGAGGTATGCTACAATTTGCGTAGGAATTCATTTCTTGTGTTTAGTTTCATCGTTATCACGTCAGAATGGAATTTTGAAGTTAACACGCCACATGAAAGAATTTGCGTTCTCATAAAATAGCAATTTTATTTATTTATTTATTTATTTATTTATTTATTTATTTAAAAGACGAAGTAACCAATTCCGAAGTCCAAACCCGCCAAGCTCAGTCAACCCGACGAGCAAGCGGAAAAGCCGGTCCCCATATTTTGATTTTTTTCGATAAAAATGTGCGGAGGCATTTTAGGAAGACTCCTAAAACCCTTCAGGAAACTCAGCAGCTTAGTTCCTCTCGCCGCCGTCGCGTCCGCCGCCGTAACCCCTGGCCACTGCAACTCCGCCGCTATGAGTGCCAAAGCGCACCATAGAACCAGCGTCTGCATCATCGGAAGCGGCCCCGCTGCTCACACTGCTGCCATCTATGCCGCCCGCGCGGAGCTCAAGCCCATCCTTTTCGAAGGCTGGATGGCCAACGACATCGCCCCCGGTGGTCAGCTCACCACCACCACGGATGTCGATAACTTCCCCGGTTTCCCTGACGGTATTATGGGAATAGAGCTTATGGATCACTGCCGCAAGCAGTCTCTTCGATTTGGGACGGAGATCCACACCGAGACCGTCTCTCATGTGGACTTCTCTTCCAGGCCCTTTAAGGTGTTCTCTGATGAGAGAATTGTGGAAGCGGATGCCGTGATCGTCGCGACTGGCGCGGTTGCCAAACGGCTAGAGTTCCCTGGCTCTGGATCTGGAGAAAATGGCTTCTGGAACCGTGGCATATCTGCCTGCGCCGTCTGCGACGGTGCTGCGCCTATTTTCCGCGACAAGCCCTTGGCAGTGATCGGAGGTGGTGATTCCGCCATGGAAGAAGCTACTTTCCTGACAAAGTTCGGCTCCAAAGTTTACATTATCCACAGGAGAGACGAGTTCAGGGCTTCCAAGTTTATGCAGAATAAGGCTCTCAATAATCCTAAAATTGATGTGATCTGGAACTCCTCTGTGGAAGAGGCCTATGGAGATAAGAAACTTGGAGGACTCAAAGTGAGGAACTTGGTTGACGGAAAAGTCTCAGACCTGAAGGTTTCTGGCTTGTTTTTTGCCATTGGGCACGAACCAGCCACCAAGTTCCTGAGCGGGCAATTGGAATTGGATTCCGATGGGTATGTTGTTACCAAGCCCGGGACTACCCTTACTAGTGTGAAGGGTGTTTTTGCAGCGGGTGACGTCCAGGATAAGAAGTACAGGCAGGCTATCACGGCTGCTGGATCAGGTCAGGGATTTCCACTGCTTTAATTTATTTTTGATATTATTGTCTGGTTTCTTGAATTTTGGTGCAGCTTTTATTAGTCTTTTGGACTTTTGGTTTATATGATAAGGATGAATGTCATTGGAGAAACTGTGCATTCCCCTTAGGTTTTGTGAATCAGGGTCCATAGGAAAAAGACAACTACAGGCCGTTGGTATGGGTTATTTGAATGAGATGGCTAAATTTGCTATATTATCTGAAAAGAAAAGTTTGTGGTCACATCTATTTCAGTCAAACAAACATGTCAAAAGCTACTTAATCTGCATTTTATGATTATTATTCTGATTATTCCGCTGATAAGCTAATCAGTTTAATACCTGGCTACGAAATGGTGTGCAGTTGTACATTGCAAGGTCTAGGGGTTATCAACTCAGAATAAACTGGAGAGGTTATAAAAAGATACACACGTTCACAACATTTATATGAAAACAATACTGCTTCTCTTTTTAAATTAATAGCTTGTTGGCTTTCCTTTAAGCAGGCCTGTCTTCTCTTAACTTGAACCACTTTTTTTGAAATATATTTTACACCATAATGACATAAGCAAGGTTGTAACGCAACACGTCGTCAGAGGCAGCATATGGGATGTCAATCTTATTGCCCAAAATCAGAAAAGGCACATTGGTCAGCGACTCATCATAGTTGTGTTTCTCATAAAGCTTAACGCGTGAACCACCAGAATCTGTCATGTACCCACAAACACTTCTACATAAAATTGAAGGGTGTCACATTACAAGTGTAAAACGTTTTACTTTTGAAGATAACTCTCTTCACAGAGACACAAACAACCCCCCCCCCCCCCCCCCACTATCCTAGCTGCATGGTTGTTGTAGCCTCTTCCATCAACCCCAACCCGTCTGGTGTTGGCAAAGCTTGTTTCTTTTTTTTATTAATGGCAACATAATGGGGTTTAGGATGGTAGAAAAAGCCCAAGCATTTACCCTTTTTTAGGTGTTTGATATCAAGTAAAGAAGAAAATTTTAGCTTTGTTCGGCTTTTAGCAAAATGCTAGTGCTTTGATGAAAACATTTAAAAATAGGAGAGTATTTGTTCTTTGAGCAGCACCGGCGTGAGACGGTCTTACAGAGCCGGCTCTTGTTAGACTTGTCACTTTTCAGCTCAAAACTAATACTTTGCATTGTGAAAAATTATTAGTAACTCGTATCACTTTTGGAAATGCTCTATATGCAAAAGCGATACTGCGAAATTTTAAAATTCATCAAAATTTGGTTGCAGTGTGCACCATCAAGATGTGGTCTAAGCTTTCTTGCATTCGTGCAGGATGCATGGCAGCATTGGATGCAGAGCATTACTTGCAGGGAATTGGTGCCCAGGAGGGAAAGAGTGATTGAGTGCGGGATTCTTATCAAGAACCAGTGTTGAATTTGTTTCAAAACTCAAAAGAACTTGCCTATATATTTGATCTCTTTTAATTGTTGTTATACGGCTATTGGGTAGAGAAACCGGCCATGCTGATTAGCTGATCTCCCCTTGGTTGGACACTTGGTCACTTGGACGTCATTACTCATTATATTCGGAAGCTTTATTACTACGGAGTATAAGAGGATTTGTATTCAAAAAAGAATTACTACGGAGTATTTGAATGCAATATATTTAATGTAATTGAACTTCCAAATTTTACTGCGGTGTAATTGTTTGTGTTTCTCTTGGTATAACTTAAAACTTAGAAATCAATGTTCTTCACCCCGGGCCTCTATGAGAGCTCCACGTCATCAAATAAAGATGATGGGGTGATACATGACTGATGGGCCTTTCCACGTACTTCTTCTGGACGTAACAGTCATCTGTATCTTGGGTCACTCTTATGAAGCTTGCAATACTTTCCTCGGGTAGCTTAGTTGTTGATAATGTCGCAATTATCAAGCAACGATACCAATCTCTCTCCTAAAAAGGCAATTTTTTCTGGTATGAGAGAAATAGAGGAGTTATGATCTCTAGTTGAACACTTTCTTACACTTACTTTCTCTATAAATATAGAAGTTATGGTCCCTAGTAGGGTTGGATTCGGTTCGGGCCACCCGGCCCGTGACCCGGCCCGGCCCGGTACTGTGCGGGCCCGGGACCGGCCCGGTCGGGCGGTCCGGGACCGGGTCTGGGCCCGAACCGGGGGGAAGGGGCGGGGCGGGCTCGGTTCAGCATTTTTGTGACCCGGCCCGGCCGGTTCGGGCCCGGGCCCGGGTCCGGTTCAATTTAAAAAAAAAAAAAATTGGTTTGGGCTCCTACTAGCCGTTGGGGCTGGGGCTGGGGACAACCCAAACGGCTATATAGCCGTTGGGTGGGGTAAAGGGGGGGTCCGGGGGGGTTGGGTGGTGGGGGGTGGGGTGGGGGGTGGGGGTAAAAAAAACCTATAAATACTCCTAATCTTAAACATTTTTTCATATCTCTTCTCCAATTCTTCCTATTCTTATCTCTCTACTCTCTAATTCTCTTATTCTCCAATATATTATATATCTACTCTCATATTCTCTTCTCCAAGAAGTTAAGATGGAAAATCAAAATGCCATTATACGGTATAATTTTGATAAGCAGAAGGACCCGAAGACCAGGAGGATGTGGTACGCAATTTGCAAATGGTGCGAAAAAAAATGTATAATGGGGGCTTCAGGCGGATTCGGGATGGCAATCAAGCATATGAAGTCATGTGACAAAGCCAAAGGATCGGGAGGTGCAGGAAGTTCCGATTGATTACAATTTTCAAAATGTTTATCTCTTAAAGTTTGTTTTAATTTTCAAATGTAGTTCCTATTTCATTTCAAATAAATGCAATTGAAGTTTGTTTTTAATACTCGTATAAAACTATAAACTATAAAATATAAATTATATAAAAAAAAATTAACCGGCCCGGCCCGAACCGGACCCGACATGTGACCGGGGCGGGTGGCCCGGCCCGAACCGGACCCGTCCAACCCGCGGGCCGGTCCCGGGCCCACTTTTCTTGAACCGGCGGCCCGACCCAGCCCGAATCCATCACTAGTCCCTAGTTGAACATTGTTTTACACCTTTCAACATCTCATTGCCAAAGCAAAAATCCCGAGGGTGTGTATCAAGAAGAAGACACAAACTGTAACATCTTTCTTTCGGATTTGTGCATAAAAATGTGGTTAGTTTATTAAAAAAGATTGTTGGGCCGCGGGTATGCGGTGCCTGCAATTTGCCAGTCTGCCGGTGCAATCGAACCGCGTGGCGCTTTGCTTGTGCTATAAAGAGGGAGGAGCGTGCTACACTATCAGCGATTGCTTTTAGTGTAGTGGTAAGCGCAACGATCCATAAGTGGTATCAGAGCCAAGGTCACGGTTTCGACCCCCGGCAACAGCATGCTGCGCAGTTGAGGCTGGCAGGTGCTGGGGGGAGATTGTTGGGCTGCGGGTATGCGGTGCCAGCAATCTGCCAGTCTGCCGGTGCAATTGAATCGTGTGGCGCTTCGCTTGTGCTATAAAGGGGGGGAGTGTGCTACACTATCAGCGATTGCTTTTAGTGTAGCGGTAAACGCAGCGATTCACAAAGATGATAAGAGATTGAGATGACTTTTAACCATGATTGATGTGCAATGATCCCTAACGCCCCAACGACTAACTATCATAGTGACTTTAGCGCATACAGACTCCTTTCGCACCAACCTAACTTTAGTGATCAATGATCATGAATCGGACAATCAATGGCTCTGATCAATGACCCCAACCTAGTGACCTATTAACTAACGACAACTAATGACCCCTTCATTCAACCTGGTGGGACCGCCGACAAGTGTTGCATCCTTGCCAGAGAAGGTGGTGGAGGTGGATAATTGAGTAGATTTTTTTAAATCGAGAACACATACAATGATACAAGACAACCTTCAGACATAATTCACAGATCCAATCGTGAACCCTACGATTAGACTTAGAGTCAGCTACCTCATATAAAGCAGCCTGACTCGCTAAACCTGAAACGGGCAAATTTAGGCAAAAAAAGATCGGAACCGAAATTCTTCCTAACAAGAATACCTAAAATCCAAACATCCAAAGCAAACCTACTCGGACTAAAATAAAAACAAATACTACTAAAAATAAAACAATCTTGAAATAAGGTCTTTCCACAAAACTCTTCCTGGTACGGAGGAGGTTCCGGAGGAGGATGAGCTCTTTCAATAGAGGTGAATACTAACTCCACCGTCATCGGAGCGGCCGACCAAGGCTGCATGATCCAACATCGATACAAACTCCCAGTCACAATTCATTCAACCGTCAAACTAGCGGCATGGTTCACATCATTGTCTACCTTGTCAAAAGCCATCTCTTTCTCATCATCCTCCACATCCAGATTGTCATATTGCTTTTCCAGAGTTTTTTTCGAATTAATTAATTAATTAATTACGAAAATAATTAATTACGAAAATAATGCCGGGTTAAAAGTATTTATCGATCTACTAGTGGGTTTAACCATGGTCGAGGTAAGTTGCCAAACGGTTGGGCGACTTATAAGTCGCCATCCGGTTTGGCGACTTATAAGTCGCCCAACCGTTTTGGCGACTTACCTATTAAATAACCAGACGGGTCAGTTTTGTTAGACAGAACGCACAACACCCCCAAATCCCCCCAAAGTTGCAGCAACGAAGGACGAATGACAAGCGGACGAGAGCCACTCCAACTCTGGTGAACTTCCATCTCCGGCGAAGTCACCTTGCCAAGGACTCTCCACCTCCATCTTCTTCAATATTCTTTCTAGGTAAATCAAAGTCAATTTTCTTCTCATATTAAAGTTAGGGTTTTTAGAATCTAAAAATTTCGAAATTTTAGATTATGAATTGATTTGTGAATTGATTTGTTGTGAAATGTGGATATGTATGGCATGTTGAGTTTTAATGTTGAATTAAATGTAATATTTGATTAGCCCCATCTACGTTGATTTCTAATGTAATATTTTGGCATTGTTAGGTGTATACTTATCCTATAAGATTTGCTTAAATATGATAATTTTTAATATATTCTTATGTGTATGAAATGATTAATTTGGGTGTATAAAGTGTGTATATTAATGTGTACTCATGAAATTTTGACATGTATTGTTATTAGAATATGGATTTCTCCAACTTCCCAATCGTGTGTCATTGGGGAGGGAACTATTATGAGGATATTGGCCAAATACGCCATGAAGGTGGTAGAAGCACCTTTGTCATTGTTTCTCGTGGCGCATGTTTGCTCGAGATGCTTCAAAAAATACATGTTGCTACAATGATTCCTCCGAGCCGTTCTTTGCGATTGAAAATGAAATTTCCCCTTAACGGGGGAAATTTCATGCTTATTCCACTTGTTGATGAGCTAGCTGTCACAAATATGTGGTCGCTAATTCAGATGGAGAGTATGTCCTCGCTGGAGATTTACATTGAGGAATCCATAGATGACTCTTCTACAGCTCCGTCAACATCAAATATTGTTGTATCTAGGTCAGGTGTGAATGCAGGGAACTCCTCATATGGTGTTGTACTAGACATGGTTATACAGGAAGAGGGTAGGTATTTGCACAATGGTGCATCATTTGTGGATGGAAAGGGAAGTGATGATGATGTTGACGGTAACATCAACAGTGATGACATGACAGAATATGATGAAGATGATGGTGATACTGTCACGACAACTGCCCCGTGTAGCCACTTTATTAGAATATATGATCTCCCTGAAGGCTTTACTGATGTGTGGATGAGTGGAGCAGGTATGAAAAGGTTTACACCCGAAGGTGAGTTTGAGGTTGGTCAACAGTTTCACAACAAAGAACAAGTCATCAATATGGTGAGCTTGTATTCTATTAAACAAAACCAATTTTATCGAGTGCTGGAGTCCGATAAACACAAATGGGTTGCAGAGTGAAGAGGAAGAAGGGACGTGATTGCCCCCGGAGAATACGCGCCACAAAGAACAAATGCAACCTCGACAGCTTCACAGTTGTGCGTTATCCTGGACCTCATTCTGCTACCTATGTTAGCAACACCGACAGTACTGATCATGTGGCGATGATGATACGTTTGTAATTTCCATATGTATGTTTGTGTTTTTAATTAGTTTTGCTTGATCTTTACTTTGGAAATTACACACTTTTGGTGTAATAGATTAGTTTGTTAAATTCTTGTAAATAGTTTAGATTAGGTATATTCTGAGCTCAAACAGGTCTTGATCACTCAAAGTACAGTTGGTGAACCCAAAAAGTGGAAAGAAGGTGCATAATTTGAAGACAAAAGAAGGATCCTGAATTTTGGTCTATACTCGGTCGAGTATTACCTATACTCGATCGGGTTTAGGTTGAAACTTCAAATCGGATCAGATCCGAAGACAAGGGAACATGCCGGGAGGATTTCGGCCACGATTAAATGTCTATACCCGATCGGGTAGACCGACATACCCGATCGGGTATGCCTTTGAGTGTTAAACGAAGATCGGTCGAGTGTGGTCCGAATACCACTTTCTAAGCATACTCGACCGGGTATAAACATATACCCGATCGGGTATACCTGTGGAAAATAGCCTGAAACCGATCGAGTATACCTCGAATCGGGTATTACACACATACTCGATCGGGTACCATGTATATACCCGATCGAGTACCCGAATCCCATCCCAAAAGCCTATAAATACACCCCCTTTCCTTCACAAAAAGATATCCACTTCCTTTGTACATCTAAGCTCAGTATAGAATAGTTCTTACTTTATATTTTTCATCATGTTTAGTCTCCAAATGAGGAGCTAAACTCTTCCATCTTGGTTTTGCAACTTTGAAGCTTAATGAATTTGTAAGTTGTGAGTTATTTTCTTTAAATCTTCTTCCTTGAATATTAATTCTTCCTTTAAAATACTATTTCTATATCAAAGTTGGGGAGTGTTACTAAGATGACAATTAGTTAACATCTTGACATTGGTTATAGTAATAGCTATTTCTTCCTCTATGTTAATATTGGGGAGTGTTACTAAGATGACAATTAGTTAACATCTTGATATTAATCATAGTAGGATTCATATTCTTTAATATTC